TAAATTACAGTGGTGATGGTAGAATCATCCAGTTCATAAACATTGGTTAGAACTAAGCTATGAAACTACCTGTGCCAGTTACTTTTTTAAAGAGTAGGTCTGAGACAATTCACTCTGCTTTTAAAACAAAGTAATGTGTTAAACAAAGTAATGTGTGTATATGTGTATGTGTGTGTGTGTGTGTGTGTATGTGTGTGTGTGTGTGTGTATACTTTTATAAATTTGGTCTTTGTCCACTACTCCTGGGATATAGCTCCTAAAATCTTTGCAATTTTCTACATAAGTGCTCTAGGGGGCATTATAATATTTAATATTTTTCTCAGTCCCTGATATAGCTCCAGAGCAATAAAAGTGAAATGGGTATCTTGTTTATAACAAGCCCCTTTACACCACAGCTGAATTTATGTTCATGAAGTGACTTTTGCAGAGCTCCTTAGGATCAGGTTGCCAGAGGAGCCAACCCTGTTAGCAGGTTGGAATTTCCAGTCCCACACACTGTCATCCTGACAGGTGAGAAGCACTAGAGACGGAGCTTAATCAACAAAGTCAATGATTTAATCATTCTGCCTATATAATGACATCTCTATAAAAACCCAAAAGGACTGGGGTGGATCTTCCAAGCTGCTGAAGCAGGTGCTAGGAGGGTGGCGCACCTGGAGAGGGCAGGTAAACTCTGTGTCCCTTCCCACATATCTTGCCCTGTGCATCTTGTACACCTGGCTGTTCATGAGTTACATCTTTTTATAACAAAGTAAAATGATTTCCCATCGTTCTGTGAACTGCTCTAGCGAATTAATCAAACCTGACAAGAAGGTAATGGAAATCTCTGACTTAGAGCCAGTCTGTCAGAAGCACAGCTAACAACCTGGCCTTGTGACTAGTGTCTGAGGTGGGGAGAGAATAAGGGACGGGACATTTAACCTGTGGGATCTCACACAAGCGGCAGGTAGAGAGTGTTAAAACTGAGTTAAATTGTAGGACCCTCAGCTGGTATCTGGAAAATGACAAAATTGATGGTGTGGGGAAAAGAACTCATATGTCCAGTGTCAGAAGTAGTGTGGGGGCAGTGCGAGAGCAGAGGAGAAACACAGGAGTGTGTTTCCATAGCAGGTAATTTATGTGTTTAGATTTTCTTTCTCTTCTGGACTCAGTATAGGTAGATTACATTTTTCTAGAAAATTATCTATTTCATCACAGTTTTCAATATATTTGTATACAGTTAACGCAAAATAGTTTCATTTGTTTGTTTAATTTCCTTCGTATGTGTGATTAGTTCCTGCTTCTCAATTTCCACTTTTGGGTATTTAGGTTTTCAAGGGAGGATTTTTGAAAGATAGGCGACACTAGATCATGCTTGTGTGCTGCTGGCAGTGATTCAAGGGCTTCGTTCTCTTTCAGACAAAACACTCGAGAGCAGGAGACAGTCTGTTACCACAAAGCAATGTTTGGCTTTTGAAACAGGGAAACAAATCATTACAGAGTTCAACAAAAGGTAGGAATGAGGGAGTTTCCAGAGATGAATCCTTTGATGGAGAGAGCTGCAGGAGAGTCACACAGCTGTGAAGCTGGAGCTAAATTCTTGTGTGTTCATGAGCTGCCTGACTCCTGGGTTGTTTTTTGGGTTTTGTTTTTTGGGGATTTTTTTTTTTTTTTTTTTTGGTTTTTGGTTTTTGGTTTCTCTCTCTCTCTCTCATATTTAAAGGAATTTATTAAGCTGTTTCTCTCAGGCTATAGGAAAGATTCTTTACTATGAACAAGGAGATAAAGTCACAATTTACAAAGAAATTGAGAAAACCCACTAGAGGGAAATTGGTACCACCAGCCTTACAAGATTAACATTTCTGATTTCTAATTCTCTTCCTAGTGCACTTCCAGAACCCATCAGAACATGCAGGAAAAGGACCAAATCTAATAATGGCTGAAAGGCTGGGTAAGAGCCATGTAACTCATTTCGCTCTCTCCTGTATCAGCACATCCTGTGTCCTCAAAGCAGGATATGCAAATAAATAAATATGCAAATAAATATATATTCATAACATTTTGCCTTTGCAAATTTTTAAGGAACTGAAGTTAAATATGATGGTATGATACAATATTCTTTAAATGTCTTAAAATTATTTTAAATAAAGGACAAGCATTCACTAGCTCAGTCAACTTCAACTCTTAATGAAAATGAATTAATCATGAACCCAGCACTTGCTTTAATCCAAGATGCATTTACAGGAAAGAGTTTTTGTTTTGTCACTGTTTAAGGAATGGAAAGAATGTCTTGGTTAGAGCCACTGGGACCCACCCAGCTCCCTGCCCTTCCCTGTCATGTAGGACTCCATGCACCTTGGTTAAGGTTGCTCTCAGTCTGCTGAGAATTCGCACGGCTGATGCCTGCTTGGGCAAGGTAGGAACAGCTACATCCTGTATGAGGGACTTCCGGCCCTCAGTGGCTGTTCAGCAGTCAAGAGCACACAAACTGAGGGCTGTTAGAGGCAGAGGTGGCTTCCTGTGTACCCCTCACCCTGCCACCTACACAGCTCTCTGAGGATGTTGACAAATGGCACAACGGCAGACAGTGGAAGTGCTCTGAAAGCACAGAAGAGCCAGCATAGATGTAACCACGTCTCAAGAAGAAAAAAAAAAAGCCCAGTGGGTCTCCCTGAACTGCTCGCTGGCCCCACAGCCCTGCAGGAAACAGTGCTACCATTGTTGAGTAGAAAATGGAAAAATAATTCAAATAGAGATGAGCAGTAAAGGAGCAGCTGCTTCCCTATTAAGAAATGCAAATATATTAATCTTCCTAGAGGCTGGTAGGAACGGAGAGCCAGAAGTAGTGAGAGGAGAGTAATTTTTTTAAATACAGAGGTTCCCCTACCCTCTAATGAAGAGGTCAGAGTTGTGTGTGCGGGAGTGGTGGGGAGGGTTAAGACAGTTGTCACAGTGCAGCTTGCATCCACCTCTCCGCAGCCTAAGACAGGACGTGGTCCCGGAGCTGTTGGAACCCTAGTGATGCTTCTTAGTTCTGAGATCTCAGGCAGGTTGATTGACTTCTCTGAGCCTTGGTTTTCTCAAGTGCAAAATGAGGATAGCGTCACCTACCTAATGGGGCTTATGTGTAAAGCACATTCCCAACATATGTCACAGTGCTTGGTGCTTAGCAGGGGGGCTTCCATTGCGTTGACCCTTCCTGCCTCATTAGGAAACCCTATGGGAAACTTGTCAGGTGTGACTTGTGAGACATGTGCATAGTCCCAGAATAGATCTTGCGTATGGTAGCTGCTCAACACATATTTATTCCTGTTTTTCCTTCTAACCAAGTCCTCTTCATCTTCCCACGTATCCAGCCAACATTGCTGACCTATAGCAGTCATTGTCACCACCTTTGTGTTGTAATTTGTCCTTATATAATTTACCCTCTTGTTGGGTTCTAATTTTTTCATTATTAGACCAAAAGGAGTATCTTTGTGCATAATACTCTTCTGCAAGAAGGTTTTTGCCTTCAGGTAAATCCCAGAAGTGGAATTGCCAAGGAAAAAGTATAAACATTTTAAATGTTTAAATGTTTCTGACATATGAACTACCAATAAGCTTTTTACTCATATAAAAAGCTTCCCATAATATATGAGAGCGCCTGTCACACTGCCCATTACCATCAGAGTATTCTCGTTAAAGAGAAAAAAAAAACTGTGTTAATTTGATAGGCAAAGCATGATATCTAGTCTTCTTAATTTGCATTTGTTTGTTTACTTGTGAAGATGACAATCTTTTATTTTTATTTATCTTACCTATTTTTTATGCTTCACCTGTTCATACCCTCTGCTCAGTTATCAATGATGGTGGTAGTATTTCTCTTATTGATTTGCATGGGGAAACCGGTTTTTTTTAAAGGCTCCTACAGTGTTTACCATGTGTAGGAGGCGGAGGGAGCAGGGAGCTCAGGGGAGCGTTCCATCTCTGTGTTACCACAGTCGCCTTGATTCCCAGAGGAAAACCGCCTCCATTTTTAAACTGTTTAAAACTCAATTATGGAACAAGGAAACAATACCATTTTTTGTCTTTTACAGTGTCTATTTGCAAATCTTTCATCAAGATAGAAAATATAACACTACATACATGAGTAATCTGTGTCCCTGTGCCAGACGCTGATCAGAGTGTACTCGGTTTCACCTAATCTCCCAAACAGCTCCTTCAGTTAGGTGTTACTCCATCCGTTTTACAAGTGAGGAAGTTGAAGCTCCGAAAGGTAAAGCCACTTGTCCCAGGGGATATATACTTTTGCCCAAGATTTCATGGCTGAAATGTTGCAGAACCAGGATTTGTGGCCCCGTGGGTGTGGGTCTGACTGCAGAGCTCAGCCCCTCTTTCCACCGTGAAAAACTTTTAAGTAGGAAAGGGGCCAGCCCACAAGTCACACACAGGGCAACATCTGCAGCATTACCCCCAGCCCCCATGAAGAGTTAGAAACAGCCTGTAACCACACATAAGGTCACCAGCAGATGAGAGACTGGGGTCCCGATTCCCCCGCCTCCCCCTCCTCTGAAGTTGACGCCACAGCTCAGCTGTCCCTGAATGATGGGGTGATGGGAGGCTGTCCTGGCCCCTCACTCACCCCATCTGCCCTCTTCAGCCTGGGTACAGAGGAAGGAAACAGGCTAGGGGATGGGAAGGGACAGAGAAAAGGGCCTGAGATTGTGGAGATCATTCTGCCAAACAGGAAGCTGGAAAATGAGACATTGGTCGAAATGTCAGCAGCAGCAGCCCAGCAAAGCCAGGTAAATAACTGCCTTTTGAAGTAAAGTTTTGATGAGGATTTTTCTGTCCTGAGGATCTTGCAGGCATCCCAGAAGGGCCCTTGTCCCTCTCTCCTCTACCTCAACCCTTGAAGAAACTTGAGGAATCAGGAAGCTGATACCATGCAAGCCCCAGCTGCCCACCTGTCTCCCTCACACCTGACTCCTCAGCCTCCACCACACCGTCCCAGAAACTGCCCCACCTGTCCTGTTACTCACCGAGAATGAGACTGATTTGGAGTACCAAGCTCTGCATGTGGGACCAGCTGCAGCATAAGGAATCC